ATTCACTATAAAACATGCCTTTCAGTATTTGTGCGTAAGTTATCAGAACTATAGTTAGCAGATAGGATTATTGTTCTGGTAGTGGATGTAGCAGCCTGTATAGCTTATGGCAAGGAGGAGTGAGAGTTATAAGAAACACCTGTATAGCTTGGTAATGTAACACCCTGATGGTAAGGGCATGGGAGGGATTTGGCTCTCCTAACAAACATAAGAGCTCACGAGAGAAGAGCACAGTGATTAGCAGTCTCTACACCTGTGGTGTTAAGAGCCACAGGAGTGTGTCTATACGAGGCTGGAGAAGGCAGTTGGGAGTGTGCATTCTATCATGACTGCTCACTCTGACTCTGTCGCTTCTTCTGCCTGCAGAACGCCTGCACGGCGTCTCTCTAGGAAAGACTGCTAAAGCCTACTAAGCTGAATTCTTCTTACTAAGACTGCTTTACTCCCTCAAATACTATCTTTCTCTCTCTCTCTCTCTCTCCCTTCTCTTAAAGCAAATAGCCCTCAGGCACCTAAGAGCAATTATTTCCAAGCAAGGTAGCCTAGCTATTTTAAAAAGACATTTAAACAAAAAAGAAGTACGAGTATAATTTAAGTGAGTGGTACATGATGACCTTAAGTTAAGTTTTTTTTTCAATTTTTATTTTAAAATAATTATCGTCCCAGCAGTTGCAAAGATAATACAGAGGTCACATTCCCTTAGTTTTCCCCCTTTGGTTACATTTCTTTATTTTATTTTTTATTATTTATTTATTGTTTATTTATTTATTTTTGAGACAGAGCCTCACTTTGTCATCCTTGGTAGAGTGCTGTAGTGTCATAGCTCACAGCAACCTCAAACTCTTGGGCTCAAGTGATTCTTTTGCCTCAGCTGTCCGAGTAGCTGGGACTACAGGCACCTGCCACAACACCTGGCTATTTTTAGAGACAAGGTCTCCTTCTAGCTCAGGCAATCCACTGCCTCAGCCTCCCCGACTGTTCTTTTTTTTTGAGGGGGGAGAGAGAATCTTACTCTTACCCTGGGTAGAGTGCCATGGCATCATAGATCCTGGCAACCTCAAACTCTTGGGCTCAAGCGATTCTCTTGCCTCAGCCTCCTGAGTAGCTTGGGACTATAGGTGCCCACTACAAGACCTGGTTAGTTTTTCTATTTTTAGTAGAGAAGAGGTCTCACTCTTGCTTAGGCTGGTCTTGAACACCTAAGCTCAGGCTATCCACCCATCTTGATCTCCCAAGAGTGCTAGGATCACAGGCTTGAGCCACCATGCCTGGCCGGTTATATCTTATGTAACTATTGTACCATATCAGCTCTAGGAAACTGACATTGGTATAAACATATAAACATCCTAGCACTCCAGGAGGCCAAGGTGGGTGGATTGCTTGAGCTCAGGAGTTTGAGACCAGCCTGAGCAAGAACGAGACCCCACCTCTAAAAAAACTAACTGGGTGTTGTGGCAGGCACCTGTAGTCCCAGCTACTTGGGAGGCGAAGGCAAGAGGATTGCTTGAGCCCAAGAGTTTGAGATTGCTGTGAGCTATGACAGCATGGTGCTCTATCGAGGGTGACAAAGTGAGATTCTGTCTCAAAAAAAAAGTATAAACACATGTGCTAAACACGTGTAAATTTCTATAACCTCTACCACAATCAAGATACAGAATTAATCCATTACCACTGAGCTCTCTCTTTTGCTCTTCTTTCATAGTCACACCCGTTCCCCTTCTCAGCTTCCTAACCTCTGACAATGGTTTTTTAGTTCTCCATCCCCATAATTTTGTCATTTTGAGACTGTTGCATAAAAGGACCCATACAGCATATAACAGTTCATATTGGCCTTTTTTTTTTTTTTTTTTTGAGACAGAGCCTCAAGTTGTCACCCTGGGTAGCGTCCCGTGGCATCATAGCTCACAACAATCTCCAACTCCTGGGCTTAAGCGATTTCCTGCCTCTGGCTCCCATGATGCCTGGCTATTTTTTGGTTGCAGCCACCATTGTTGTTGGATGGAGCCAGGCTGGATTCGAACCCGCTAGCTCAGGTGTATGTGGCTGGTGGCTTAGCCGCTTGAGTCATAGGCGCTGAGCTTGTTTTGAGACAAAGTGTCACTCTGTAGCCCAGGCTAGAGTGCTATGGAGTATCAGTGCTCACAGCAGCCTCAAACTCCTAGGCTCAAG